CTCGCCTGCCAAAGGCTGAGCAGGAGGAGTGGAAGACAGCTTGCCGCGAAGAATTAGAGGCACTTCGCAAAGTCTACGGGTTAGACTTAGCCATGTCCGACTGTTCGGAACCCGGCTTCGTGGTAGCATTTGCTCTCGCATCCTTGCTCAAGGTTCTTCTATCGCCGTCTATATGTCGCGAAACAGATTCACGAGGAATCTACCTAACCGTCGTTTAACGCGGTCAAATCAGTGTCGCTTACTCTACAGCCCAACACACGGGTTGTAATATATCTCTTCTCTAGGCTACTGGTAGACCTTAGAGACTGCTTCTTGCCCTAGCTGACCACTCAGCAAACCTCAACCGACCTTCGGTCGTCCTTCACCTCAAACGTGTCCGCATCGTAAAACGTGCGGCGTCGCAAGATAGTGAAATAACTCCATCCGCGTGACTAAATAACGTTAGACCGACGGAAAGGACTACTAGACGTAAGCCTCTTTGAGGAATCGTAACGGTTCTAGGGACGTAAGGGTAAAGAAGTACTTGTAGAGGAAGTCGAATACTTGATCACGAAACAGGAACGGTGTTTTATACCGCAGCAGGTGTATCTGTTGCCGCTACTGAAAGAGCGGTCAGAACCTACACTTCTGCTTATACGGGCGTAGCCTTGACTCAGCCTGTTTGGGTTCAAGGAAGTACCTATGTAGTTCCCTCACGGTGGTGCTCTCCGGACGGACGAACTCAGGTATCTCCCGTGCAAATTCAGCTTACTGAAATACGAGGACAGGTCTTCAAAATTTGGGAAGACCAACAAGGTACATCTAGAGAAGTAGCTCAAACGGCATGTTTATCCGCGACGCTTGTAGCTGTGGCCTGTTTACGGTCAAGAGTTCACGACGGTTACGCTCCTGCTCAGCGTGACAGAGTTTAGCCTGATGACCTCTCTTCTGAACCAGCTTCAGATTTGGAAGTTGGACCCTTTTTGGAAATCGCTGCTCGGAACGGAAGAATGCTGGCAGCGAAAACTGCAGCTTCTGGGTAGCCAAAAATTATTGGAAAGATAACCTTCCAGCTAGGTGCTCAAGTTTCTGCAACGCG